TTTTTTTTTTTGGGTTTTGTTGTTTAATGATGAGAAGAATTGATTGATGGAGAAGGCAAAGGCAAGGCAAGGAAGAGGAAGGGTTAGATTGAACCCAAGTGCTGGGTTTTTTTGAACCCGACACCCTTGGGTTCTTTGGCAAAAAAAATTAAAAAAAAATGGTTTCTGTGTTTTTGTGGATTTTGTTGTTTGACGAAGAATTGATTGATGAAGATGAAGATGAAGATGGATGAAGAAGGCAAGGAAAGGAATAGGAAGGAGAAAGAGAGTGGAGGAAAAAAGAGAAATTTTTAAATTTTTATTGCCAAATCATTATTTTTTTGCCATGCTATCTTTCCACGTAGGTTTAATATTTTAACAGATCATTATACTTTCGTTAGTTAACAGTATACATCATGCGATTTTTAACAGAGGGACTAAGTCGGGGTTAAAATGGTAAACAGTAGGGACTAAATCAGAGATTTTTTTGAGTTGAGGGACTTAATCGAGGGTCCGTACAATAGTTGAGGAACCAAAAAAAGGGTTTAACCTTTTTTAAAAGAAAAAGTAAAACCTAACAATTTTTTTATGCCTTTAAGATACATCTAAATTATAGTTAATAATTATATTTCCCCCATCAACCGTGTTGTACATCACCCACCGCCTTCCCTTATCTGATCTTCAACCAGAACATGGTGTTTTGCACTGAACAAAATAAAATACTAATTATCCCATTTTCTATTTTTCTTGGCCACTGTCCTATTTTATATTTGGTGCACCAAACCTTAATAAGAACAATTTAATTTTAGTCAACCCCGATCTTAAACATTGTTCCTTATCTGAATATTGGTTTCTAAATGCAGGAAAACTAAAAATATTTTGTAGAGTTTTGGGTGAGTGATACTTTATTTTATTCATAATTTCACTTAAAAATTTAAATTACCCTTTTTGTCCATATTTTCACCAACTATTCTTTTCCTTAAACACTCATTACTTATTGGTGTGATAATTATATAATTATAATATTATATAAAATTATAAATTTATAATTATAATTTATTTTTAAAAATTAATATTTTTAATATTATAAAAAATTTATAAATAAAATATATTAATTTTATAATAACACTATTATTTTAATTTATAATATTATACAATATTATAAAAATATTATTTTCATTATTAAAGTATACTCTTTTGTTTTTAACATAGAAAATAATGGGTAATGGAACTAACCATTAGACCAAAGGTCCGATCCAATTAAAGTGTACTCTTAACTACCAAAAAATTTAAGAAATCAATTAGGACTTATCTCATAATTAAATTATAAATTTGTAATCTCAGAAAAAATGTAGTGGTAATAATGAAAAGTAACCGGGTATAGCCGGTGATGTGCAACCGGCTCTTCCGGTGACTTTAAGACAAAATAAATAAAGGCTAATCTTGTGTTTCGCCCTTTGGCTAATTAGTTCTTCAGTCACAAAATAGAGAGAGCTTCAATTCCTCTCCGTTTAGTTTCCGAACAAATTTCTTGCATTTTCCCGGCGAATTTTCTTCTGCATTTTCTAGGGAAATTTGGGAAAGTATGGGAATTGGTGGTAAATTTGTCAGCTTTTTTTCTGGGAGTGACAGAAAGGAGACAGTTCCGAAGTAACTAAACCTGCTTTTGTTTTGAGGTAACAAACTCCTTTCCAAAATGCAGAATGGAATCTCTGTGTTTTTGGAGGCCTATATTTAGTTAGTTTGAATGCTTCAAATGGTTCAGTGAAAGTTTGTTCTTTCGTATTTGATCTTTTTCAGTTAGCTGCTTTTGTACTTTGAAGAGCCAGTTTTTGGTCTCCAAAATGGACCATTTCTTTAGTTTTGGTCTTTCTAGGTGGTTTAGTTTTTAAGCTAATCTGTAGTGTTTAGGCTAAAACAATTGAGGGGCTTAGGGGTTTTTGTGAGATGAGTTAAGGATAATTATGAGAGGTTTTATGTGGGTTTTGAGGATTTAAATTCATGCAATTGTTAACATTTCTGGTTCTTGAAATGGTTTAAGCTTAATACTTGAAGAAAAATTGTGGATTTGGTGGAAATTATTGTTTTGTTTTGGTTGATTTTTTGTTGAATAGGTAATGTTGAGGATTTGAGTAAAGTAGAAGTTTTTGCCTGTTTTTGAATATGTAGAAAGCTGAGTCTGAGATCTTTTATCAGCTTTGATTGGAGGTGATTGCTGTTTATGTCAGGTGCCCCAAGATTCAGGTCAATGAATGTGGCTGATTCTGAGAGGCTTGTATTGGGACCTGCTGGGAACGAGGCAAGGTCACTGACTGCAAAAAAACCCAATCAAAACCGGTAAGAAAGATTGAGAAGTCTCCCATGGAGGTCACCACTGCGGAGGAGAAGAAAGTCCTTCCGCCACCTACAGTTACTTCTTTGTCTCCAAAAGCACATCCTGCTACTGTTTCTTCAATGCTTCATCGCCATGAGCACTTTTTGCATTCCAATTTATCACTAAATGCATCATGTTCATCTGATGCTTCCTCAGACTCATTTAATAGTCGACCCCCTACTGGTAGGTTTACTAGGTCATACAGTGTAGGAAGTAGGAAGAAGCAATCTGTATCAAAACTGAGAAGTGTTGCTTCTGACAGTGGGTTGGATTCAACACCCACTGGTTTCCAGCAGAAGAAGAGGTGTGCATGGGTGACACCAAGTACTGGTGCGTTCTTATTTCCTCTTGTTTTGGAGTGTTCTATTACTGTTGAGTTAAAATATGTATGTATGAACTTAAATATGTGTTTACTATCATATTGGTCATTGATGGGGTACAAGCTGCTTTGAGTAGGATAATGAAATATTATGAAACAATGATTTGTTCTTTTTGTTTTCCAGAATGAAAGACAAAATGCCTTCACATAACCGATGCTTCTTATGTCATTCAACCCTCTGGTTATGATCACGTTTCCCTTTCATGATGAAATTAGAATCGGTGGATCTGAGCAAACCTGACCACTAACTCAGTTGTTGCTTGGGTTAGGTTCTAGGGTTGTTCTAGACTCTAGTCAACAAACTAACAATGAACCATCATGTATGATAGTTGTAGTTTGTCCTAACATGTTATCATTCTCTGGTACTTACTTCTCCCTTCACCTTCCCTTCCATTCCCCTATAAACAAAAATAGTAAAAAATTTCTAAACTAAAAATATTTTCAGTTAATTACTAATGTGCATTTTGCACTTAGTTTGCTTATTATTTATTATTTCACATTCACTTTATGAGGAGGTATATTCACAAGCAGTCCCTGATTTTCCAAGGGATTATTTTCCCTTGTCTATTGTAATGTTGAAAAAGGTGAAAAATGCATTTATTATTTGTTTGTTGAGGGCATCTCATTTTGTTGTTACCTTGATGCTTCAACCACACATATTTCTAGTTTTCCCTACTGAGCAATTTTTTTTTTCTTTTTTTTGGTTGATATCAGAGCCATGTTATGCTGCTTTCCATGATGAAGAGTGGGGTGTTCCAGTACATGATGACATGTATGTGCCATAACATTGTTTGTCTTTTTATATTGACTAAAAGGGCTATCTCCCTCTTATATATAATTTCCATTTGATAATTAGTCCGCATTATATTCTTGTTCCACATACAGGAAATTGTTTGAGCTTCTTGTCCTGTCAAGTGCGTTGTCTGAACTTACATGGCCTGCTATTCTGAGCAGAAGGCACATATTTAGGTATTTTTCCTATTGAAGCTCCTTCTCAATTCCATATTAAGCTGCAGACCTTTTTACTTGAATTTTCAACATTGTGTTAATTTTTCTCACAAGCTATTTTGCAGGGACGTTTTTGCAAATTTTGATCCTGTTGCTGTATCAAAGTTAAATGAGAAGAAGCTAATGGCACCAGGCAATACTGCAACCTCCCTGTTATCAGAATTAAAGCTACGTGCTATCATAGAGAATGCGCACCATATACTAAAGGTCAATTACCATTCTTCTTCTTGTTTCTTTATTCCACCTTTATTAGCACTTGAAGGTTCATGCATGGTGCTTAATAAATCATTAGCAGTGGCAATTGATACATTCATGCTGTTAATGGACTTAACATGAGCTTGTCTCCTTTGCTCACACATTCATTAATTTGATCAACAATTGGAGACCATTTACATTGTTTTCTGTTCTTTGTACAAGGAATTAATTGTTGTCTGAGGTGCTTAGAGATCCTTTGATCAAGTACGTGGTTGAGCACTTGAGCTGTGGCACTAACCATCTAGGCATGTTTTTGAACCATATAGGACAAACCATAAGCAACAACATTTATAGTTTCATTTCCAAAAACAAAAGCGCAATCTTTGTAGCTTGTCTTGAGGTATTTGGTATTTTATGAGTTTGAGGTAACCTAATTACTCCTTTTCATCTGATGCCAGCTTAGCTTAGTTGGTAAGTCCCAAGTCATTTATCAGATTGGTTACTTTCAATCATTGACCACTAGCCTTTGTTACTGAAGCAAGTGCCACATATTGCACACTCTGTAGTGGTTATGATTGTGACTGTGACTAACCTTCTGCCGATGTTGCTGATGCCAGGTTATAGATGAGTTTGGGTCATTTGACAAGTATATCTGGAGCTTTGTGAACCAGAAACCCTTAGTCAGCAGGTTCCGATACCCTCACCAGGTTCCGGTAAAAACCCCAAAAGCAGATATAATAAGCAAAGATCTGGTAAGAAGAGGGTTCCGTGGTGTGGGTCCCACAGTCATCTACTCATTCATGCAGGCAGCTGGAATAACAAATGACCATCTCACTAGCTGTTTCAGATTCCAGGAGTGTACGACAGCAGAAGATGGCAAAGAAGAAAATGGTGTAAAAGACAGACCCAAGGACAAAAAAACGGATGGTGTGATTGAACCTGAGTTATCTGTAGCTATTGATGAGCTGAGCTTCTCATCAGAATGATGTCGGTCAGCAGGCAGATGGAGCTCCACCAGGTTCAATCATTTATCACTTGACTGATTCAAATACAATAAGCAAAGATATGGTAAGAAGATGGTTCCAGAGTATTGGTCCCACTGTCATCTACTAATTCATTTAGGTGGCTGGAATAACAAATGACCACCTCTCACTAGCTGTAGAAGACAAAACTCGAGGACAAGAAAACAGATGATGTGATTGAATCAGGGTTTTCTGTAGCTATCAGTGAACTGAGTTTCTCATGAAAATGATATCAATCAATGTGCAGAAGGTAGCTCCTCAGTTTATCACTCTGATTCAGAGCACTTTAACTTTTGGGTAGAAATGGAGAATGTGTATAAAAATTTCATGAATATACCCGTGTACCATGGATCCTTAGATTGTAGATTACTCAAGAGTAAATTATTTTAACTTGTGATTGTGCTATTGATTGGGGCTGCCTGTCCATGAGGCCTAAAATGCTATGTACACTTTGTATAGTTGAGAAGGTTTAATGATTAGATTTACTTTATTAACCAAACACTAGATATCTAAAACAAGATTTACTACAGTAATTCTGTTCACCAAGGATTCACGACCTTGTAAGATGAGAGGATTGTTGAAGGTTACCCTAGAGTTTGCTGAACGGCTAAAATTTTGCATTGTCAAGTCGGCTCTTGTCTTTTTAGTAGACTTGTATGCAATCATTCGGTTTTTATGTAATGCGCTATTAATTTTTTTTTAAAACAACTCAAGAGTTTATTCGACATGATGTTTTTATAAATATTATTTTTTAGAATATTAACTTTAAATTTTTAAATTTTAAATAATACTTATTTATTAATAATTTGACAACTATAAATTATTTTGAATGAATGGTAATAATGGTTGGGGGCAGAACGTGTCTGTCCTTGTAGGGCGGAAGCATTCCTACAAAAGAGACATGTTTCTGCTATTGAGTTCATCGTTACCAAATGTAGGACAACCCTGTTCCAAAATTTTATTTAGACAAAGAATAACGTTTGGGAAAATTTTGCTTTGAAACCCACCACCGTGTTCACGTACAGCCGGGCCAGATCAGGATAGGTACTTGTAAATGCTTTAGGTCGGCAGAATTTTTTTTGAAGCCTTTGTATACCTTCCAGCCCATTAAATTCCTGAATTCCCTCATTCTCAAGCTCAGATATTCCATGGCAATACCAAAATAAGCATAGATAACAAAATAATAATAATAATAATAATAATAATAATAAAAGGAGATTATCTGTGCATTAGTAGAATAAGTTTGTGTGTGGTTAGGTCTACAGTCACCCAGGATCAGTAGCATCAGACGGGCTGTTAACCAACTATGCTTGTGCTTAAACAAGGGCTCCTGTTCAATTAGTTGCATGGTAGGCCAACATCTGATTCAGCAGCTGGCTGAAATGGTTCGAGCAAGTCCTGGAAGTGAAAATGGAAAGGAAACAAGAAAATAAAAAGAATGAAAAGTTAAGCACCCAAATTCAACATTATAAAATGCCCGGTGGAAAGCCTTAAATGCTCCTATCACGGCAATCTTAAATGTAAGTTGTGAAATGAACTTTTACCGGATTCACATAGAAACAAGATCAAGCATGTTCCATTAACATGATTAAAAAAAAAAAAAAAAAAAGAAAGGGTGCAACTGTGCAACCAAAGGCATACTACCCATTTACTATTACCCTGTTCAAATAGATCAAAAGGATATACAGTAGCAGATATACAACTATTCCCTGGAAAACTACAATAACTAAGGGGAAAAAACTGAAAAGAAAAAAGGAAGAAGAAAAAAACCTGACATATAAATAATCTATATACATAACATGTGACTTTATGTGATAAAGATCCATATACCTTGATGATGCTTTGGCACTTTCAGCAAGGTTTGATTTCAAATCCAATGCTCAAAAGAGTTCGAGCTGATTCCATTGCCTTCTCACCTCCAAGGTCCAGGGCCTCACCAGTCAGTTCACCTTCTGTACCCACTGACCACTGGGTCGGTGTTATCTGGCTTTGAGCTGTATCAGCTTTCTTTAACTGCTCATTGTTCATAGCAGCAGGAGCAGGAGCAGTAGCAGTAGCAGCAACAACTTGAGCACTTGATGGGCCACGTCGCTTCTTTGGCACAGGCTTGTCATGGTCATGGACACCCTTGTATGTTACCATGACAGCATTTGAATTATCTACAGAGGTTTCGATTTGTTTGCGGACAGGGCACCCAGCAGAGGTGCATCTATAGTAGTTTCTGAAAATTCATTCAAGCACTGAATAAGAACAAAAGGATATTAGATTACACATGGCCACAAATTGAAAACATGACAACCCAGATGAAAGAGAACTCATGAGGATACAATATAGGCCGTCATCTTAAGCAGGGTACAAGCCCCCTAGTTCCACACTTGTACCCATCAGATAGGGAGTAACAATTATATTTGGAGGGTGGATAAATTTATGCAAACAGAATGTTGTGGAGAAAATCAAACTACAAGCCCATTGAAGCAAATTAAAAAAGGCAGTCAAG